ATAAGCAAATCTAAGCCATGTGGCACACACTACCCTCTTGGAATTTATTTTGATGACTGCCTAGAGTTTAACCTTCAATCCTATTAGTTTTGTTGTTGTGCTTTGTAGAGTTGAAACCAACCCATAACTGACCATCCAGTGGTTTTTCCCCACACAGGAGAACATCACCTATCCTTCTCTTGCAGAGTAGTTGGTGGATTTGAACCATTGCATGCCTTTGAGATTGCTGTGCAGTTTATTACCACTAGGTCAGTAGGGCTCCCAAAGTCTCCAAGAGGCCAACCTGATTCTCATTAGAGAGCTGCAGAGAATCAGATATTTCTTCTACTTCTGCACCTAATATCAAGTCATCAGCATGTAGCTCAGCCTCCACTAACCAATGCTCTTCCGTCTACTGATGGCAGAACTAGCATTGAGATCCAGCCATGTGACAGCAAGTGCCAAGGGTCAGAAGGGCCAGCCCCTGTGTCCTGAGCAGATTTCCCAAGGTGTGATCTAGACAGTGCACTTAGCCTTTCTGACTTCCTGTCCCTCCTGGGAGCTTGTCTCCAATCTCTCTGTTGGTTCTAAGGAGTATGAAGTTTTTAAATGGAAATGGAACATGACTGGATTCTTTAAGACATAAAAGTAGATTAAAAAAAACCCTATGAAGGCCAAGAAGGGATTGAGCGAATTGGATTGTAGCCGCTAAGGTGCTCAGTTTTTCCTAGGAAGCTAAGACCATGTTGGAGTGAGGCCATCATTAAGGCAGCTGGTGTAAATGCTGAACCTTCCTGGCCTGGTCTGTTTATTTGGGCCAGGATGACGTTGGGAACCTCATCTGCAATGAGGGTGCTGGTGGACCTGCCCAGCTGGAGGACACCCCCGCCCCCAATGGCTGTTGCTCCAGTTGAAAAGAAAGTAGGAGCAAAGAAAGAAGAATCCAAAGGGTCCCCGATGACATGTCCAATACAAAATTGAACTTAAAAAGCAAAACAAAACAAATGCATGTTTAAGAACGTACAAAAGTACCAGGTATTTGATAAAGTCGATAGTACTAGGTAGTCATGTGAAAGATGTCTTAAAGGATAAGGTAGTATAATGAAACCTGTAAGAGCCAGAACTTGAATGGCTGCTTTGTTTTCCTGGGTCTCACAAGTTTTCTGCCTTTGACAAGTGTTATAGTTCTACCACTTTCTTGTCACTCATGTCAGTGAAAATACGGGCTTTTCCCCTCTCTGAGTGGTTTCCACCTTACCCATATTTTCACAGGCTATACTCTGTGACTGAGTTGACCAAGGAAAATTAGAAGATTGGAGAAATGTGTTATATCTTTTATTGAGATATTAGAAACATCTAAATAGTTCCATTACATGGGTTTTGATACACCTTTGAGCACATGGGCCACTTAAGACTCAGTTATAACACTGCAGTGAATTGGTTCAAGCAGCACACATATAGGTGAACTACAGCAGACAAAGGATGATGATCAGACACAGCCTGCAGTTTGCAGGGTACCGTTTATTTCATGAAACTCTAAAGCTGACAATGGCTTTAAAAATAAAGAAAAGGCTTTGGAATGTCAAGGCCTGTCACTAAATTTCCAAGCTTTAAACTTGAGGTTCACACACTGTAATGTATTTTGATAAATATTACTGTCTTAGGTGGGATGAGTTATTGAAACTATAATTTGCAACTAACTGCTACAAAGACTCCAACAAATAAGGGGAGGGAGGGAGGCAAACCTCTGATCCAGAGAGCATGTTTGGATCTAAACATACTTTGAAAAACATTCTTGGGACGTTTAAAGAGTACAGAATTGCTTATTTATGTATTGATCCTATTTTGGTGGTTGAACTAGTTTAGAACAGTCTAATTCAGCTAATGCATCATCAGGTCATGATGAGATAAGGTGCTATCCTGATGGATGTTTAGAGAAAGGCCAGTGGTATGTTCACAAATGACAGATGCAAGGAATGACTAGCAGAAAAGTACCTGATATTTGTGTAATGGACAGGGGTTCCCAAATGAGTACCTTACCATGTTTACTGCTTCACTAAAGCTAATTGCGATGAATGCCACATGTGACTATTTAGTATAAATTAGGCTTCCAAACCTTAGCTACAGACTTGGAAAGCGCCCCTACAGAGTGTCTTGCTATCCCCAAGGTGAGCTATTACTAGCTGAGGCTTGTGTTTAACTGGAGCTAACGCCACTTGGAAAAGAACTTGAAATGTGTTTGTGGTGTCTCTCTGCGTGTTTAACGAGCTGCTGAGAACGACGGTTGTCTCTATGACTCTTCCTCTTTAATGCTCTAGAGAATTCTTTCTTCGCTGTTATCCCATCTGCTTGTTAAGAACTGGTTTTGATCAAATAATTCTGAAAAGTATCTGAGTTATCCACACTGTATCAAGTTCACAAATTAAGGATTTTCACTAATTTTGATGCTTCTCTTCCCCATCTCCTCCCTCCCTACAAAGTACAAGAGCTCATTAGCGCTCATGTTTGTGGGAGTTTACCAAGACTCCTAACAGCCCATGATATGTATGTATTAGTTTACTGAAACCCAGTTAGTGAAGGAGGCCAGTTAGCCGGCCTGCATCCACACCTCCATGTGGTTGTGGTGTTTCTACACAATTTTTGTCATGCTGCCAGTAGCCCTTCCAGAGCAACCAAGGCAATGGTGCCCTTGGCGGACACTTGAAAATCTTTGAAGACATTTGTGGTTATCCCAATTTGAAGGGCAGTATGGGAGAGAGAGTGCAGCTGACAACTCTCAAGAGAGCCGAGGCCACACATGCAGCTAAGCTTTTTATAAGGACCCTCCATGGCAAAGAATTATCCAGTCCCAAACACCAATAGTTCAGAGGTCAAGATAGTGCCTGCCCTAAAGGGTTAATTTAAAAATAAGCACTTCTTTTTATTTATTATCTTCATGAAACATTTTGGTTTGGAATGCTCTGGTCAATTTTTAAGCTAATGCCATTATCAAAATGGTGCAGTATATCGAGTTATGTGGCAAAATTTATTTTATAAATGAATTTAGGACTCAGTGTTCAGAGAATTCATGGAGTTTTCAAGGAGACCCTTGAATTTTTCAGCTAGACTTTGTTCTATTTCAGAGGCTGTTGTTGTATGATGGTTGACATTTTGAGAATTCAGAGATCTTAAGGGTGAAAAAAAAATTATATTAGTTAACACTGGTCTGATGTTAGGCACAATAGGAGGCATTTTCATATATTATCTCACTTACTTCTCACCACTGCCTTGCAAGGTGGTTAGCCTTGCTAAACAGTCCCATTTCACAGATGAGGCAATGAGTCTTAGAAGAATTTTGCAACCCAATCAAGGTCACACCGCTGGTATATTTGAAGCTAGGGTTTAAGACTCCATCTGTCAGACTCAAACCTTTGGGAGAATAAGTTCCTGACTTTTGAACCATAGAGCATATATACTGGCAAAGTATCACAAGGGAAAGATAAGTGGGATAATAACCAGATATAGCTTCATCTAGAATATGGTTACATTACATCACATCACATGTGCTAAGTCTATGCATCTTTTCTTGGATTTGTTCAAAGTGATTTAAAAGAATTGTGCTGGTTTTTTTTTAATTACAAATAGTTTATCATCTCAAAAACTTGAGCAAAGCTTTTTCTTTGTGAATTATTTCGATACCTGAAGAAGAAAGGACGGTTTGCATCTGCTAAAATTTCCAGGCTGCAAAATCAAATGGTCTCCACAGCTTCATGTTTGAGAACCATTTACTTTCTATCTTAATCTCTGTTGATCAGATCATTATTTCTCATTCTCATTTTAGGTAAATCTCTCCAAGTTTCCTTAAGAATAATCATGAAACTTGTCAGGGGTCAAATCTAGATAATTGTGCTACTTTCAATTCCAAGTTAGTTAACAGGCCCTGACTTTCTTTCCCTCCTACAAGATTCATACCCAAAAGATTTATCAGGAAGGAGACTGGGGGAAGTTTCATTTCTGGACCAGGATTAATCTCTGAGGCACTATTGTGACATACCAAATTTTATAGTATATATCAGATGTAATATTTGAGAACTCAGAGAACACCCACATTGCTACCACAATGCTTGGGTCCTGGCATTATGGGTTAACCCAATAATATGGGTTACTGGAGTTCAGAAGTACCCCTGGTGGTGCAGTGTTTAAGCATTAGTTTGCTAATCAAAAAGTTAGTGGTTTGAACTCCCCAATTGCTTTATGACATTAAGATGTGGCAGTGTGCCTCTGTAAAGAATCATAGGCTTTGAAACTAAAAGAGGGTAGTTTTACTCTGTCTTATAGGGTCGCTATATGATTTGGATTGACTAGACAGACATGGGTTTTTCTTTTTTGAGGGCATGGGAAGAGAAGGGAATCAGGAAGATCTTAGTAGTATTATGTGTGGCAGATCCTTATAAGAGGCAGTATCCACACAGCAGAATCTTTGTGGGGGTGGGTTCCATTTCTATATCTTCAAATACAACATAAATTCCCAAATTTAACAGCTTAGGGGTTGGTTTGAGCCTTTTAACATTCTCACATATGTTAAAAAGCCTTATCTTCTTTGTAGGCACTTTGTATATGTACTACAAATGACATACTTCAGATATCATACTGTGATTTAAATCATTCTTTTCTGTCTGTCTGATAGAAAATAATTGGTGTCAACAGCTTACTTAGATCATTGCACTTGCTGTGTTACTTTCCAATCCAAAGGCTTCTCTTCCCTGGAGAATTTGTTTTTCATTTCATCTCTAAAACCCCAATTATCCTGAGCGCTTTTCAAGTAGACCTAATGAAAATCCAGAGGTTGTTCCAGAAGTGAGGAAGACCCTGTGTGCACATCTTCTGGAGCAAGCACACACCACCACTGAGGGACGATGTGGACAAAGACCGTTGCATGGCTGGGTTGGTCTAGATTAGGATCCCTTTCATAAACTATGTAGATCTAGAAAAAAGAAGGAAAGAAAGAAAAAGGAAACAAACAACTTTCTAGAATAAAGCTTTTAGGTCATGATTTCTTCAAAATTAGATAGCTGCTTCATCTGCTCCACTTGCATGGAATGACGTCTGAGGAGCTTCTTTTTACATCTCATGTCAGCTCTCTTTGGTGAGCTTGGAGCCACGGGAACCATGGATTTTAAGCCACTAGCAAGTGGGGAAGAAGGCTTGGTGCTAGATCTAATGTCTGGGATAGGCGGGTTCAGATTCACATTTAAGGGTGGAAGAAAGCCAGGCCTAGTCTGAGAAATGCGATCGAGGAGCAGAGTTCCAGAACCTCGTCTTTCTAGAAGGTGTGGTGGCCTGCGGCGTGCTGAGTTGGGAGATGTGCTAGGCACGGCATCCAGGGACTCACGAGAGCCATGGAAAAGAGCCAAGTGGGAGCTATTGAGCTTCTTTCTATCTAAGGGTCCTTTGCCTGACTCAAGAGGAATGGAGTTGGGCGGGTCCGTGCCTGTTTGTAAATCTAAATCATAGAACTCATTCTCCAGCAGTGTAAGGGCCGTTGGATCTTTGAGAGCAGAGGGTCCTGGTGGACCAATGCTACCCTTCTCTTGGTCAACGGGAAGAGTACTTCTTCTAACCAGACGAGCATGGGGAGCCTGTGCTTTTTCATAGGCTGCTTTCCAGGGTGCTGGTGCTGAAGAGGTGGGAATCTTCAGAACTTGCTCTGTGACCGTGAGGAAGAGGGTAGGGTCTTTGCCATCAATACTGTTGGTTCTGGAAAGAGGACCCCTTTTGGGGAAGGACACATCATTGATGCTTTTGAGGACCTCATTGTCCGTGCTGGCATTTAAGGTCTCATCCTGGCGTGCTGAGGCTGCCAATACGGAGGGTGCGATCAAGCCCCAAGGTTCAGACTGGAGTCTCTTGAGTTGGGGCAAACGGGCCCTTTTGAGGTTACCGACTTTCCTGTTGGGTGACCCAGGCTCATTAAGAGGTTTGGGAGCATTGCAGCCACTTGGATGCCCCGGCTGGAGACTGAAAAAATCATCTTCCTTCTCACTGGGTGGAGAAGCCAGCCCTGGAGCCTTCAGTTCAATCTCAGAAGGAGACATGCACAGTGGAGGTGACTGCCTGTCTTCTACCTTGGGTGAAGGGGGTACATTAAGATACTGCTTGGTGGTTTTGGTGCCTGAAGATGATTTATCAGTTGTGATAATAATCACTTCCTTTCCTTTGGCTTTGCAGGCATCAAGGAGATATTTCAATGCATCCTTGTCATCTGCGTTGATTGCATAAACCAGAGCTGAAGCCCCAGTGCGGTCCTCGAGGCTGGGGTCTGCGCCATTCTCCAGTAGTAAGGAGACCACTTCTCCCCCTGCCCTTCTAATGCATGCATGGATGAGAGCCGTTTTGCCCGACTTATCCTGGATATTGGGGTCAGCTCTGTTGTCCAGAAGGTACTTCACCATCTTGGACTTGCTGATGCTTTGCTGGTCCACATGCTTGGTGATGCAGGCCACCATGAGTGCCGTTTCTCCTTTGTCATTGCTTTCATTGATATAGGCACCTCCCTCCAGGAGGAGCCTGGTCAGCCGGAGCCTCCCTAGCCAGACGGCTTTTAGGAGTGAGTTTCCATCAGTCCTCAGCTCAGTGTCATCGTCCATCATGGTGGCCGCAGCTTAGGTTTCTGGGCTACAGGCACGATCAGACCTAGTAAGAGAAAATCAGAGAAATCATCATGTTTTCTGTAGCTAACTTGTGCATCCTATTGGCTTCAGAATCCTGATAAAATCACACCCCTGGCCCCCTTCCCAGTTATATTACTTTGGTGAGTCATCTAACTCCATTGAGTTAGTTCTTTTAACTATAAAATGAAGATGCATAAGTAGCTTATCTCATTAAGGTATGATAAGATTAAGTAAGATAGCATGTATAAGATTTTTTCTTGTTTTTATTATTATTAAATTTTATTAGTTTTAATGAACATTTACAGGGATTTTGGGTTTTCATTCCTTCATTACTGCACCATTTTCTCTACCCTCCTCCCCAGTTTGTTCTTCTTCCCCGCCATCCGAATGTCTGTTTTAATTGTCCAGTTGCCATAGTGCTTGTCAAAGTCAGTTCTGATTAATCTCCTTTGTCGGTGTGTCCTTTG